CACGGGGGGGGGCGGGGGGGTGAAAGGACAACAAACTAAAAATAAAACATCAAAGTTATAAAGAAATTAGTTTTCAATCTCGATGATGATTTACAAGCGCATAGCTCCAGTGGCTTCCTAATATCGGAAGGAAGAGCGTTCCAGACGGCCGCAGAAGCACGTCTGTAAGCGGGGCGCTATGATGGTGGCACGTCATTGCTCGACGGCGGAACCAAAGGCCTCTGCTGCTGCTGCTGCTGCGAGGATGAGCGGACGGAGTTGGCGTGGTGATGCTTCGTGCTCCTTGTCGAGATCAGCGAGCTATTGTGGTCCATTCGTTGCAAGCACTCTGTGTGTAATGAGGGCGACATTATAATGTAAAGTGACTGTGTACCCCGTGACTATGTGTCATTCATATTATTCCCAATGGCTGGGGTGGGTGGGGAGGCGTGGAAGGAGTAGCGGGGTGGAAGGGAAGTGATTCGGCAATGTGTTATTGTGGTCTTGTCGAACATGAGTGCGACGTCGCCGGCGAATGATCGGAGCGAGCGGCGGAGTTGACCACGCACCGCATTGGGTCGAGATGTCGACTCACACGGACATGCAAGGATAGACTTGCCACAGAGGGCCGTAGACTCGCGTGGGATAACCCCCACACTCACGATAGAGGCCGTTCGAATGAAACGCTCCTTCTGCTGTAGGTACGGCGGGGAGCGCTGACGGTTTATTTGTGTTCGTGCCGAGGTTGGCGAGCGAGCCAGCGGACGGCTCAACAAGAGCAGGCTCCTGGTGATACGTCTCTGAACAGCTGCGGGGGAAGTAACAATAACAGTGATGATGGGAGCAGGCAGCGGCGTGAGGCGCCATGCGGTCCATGCAGAGAGATCGGATAACCACCGCCGCGCTCGGGGCTGTTGGTGAGCTCGTCTCACGGCACTCACGAACCTCGCAGCCGCCCTGTATGGGGGGGGGGGGCGGGGGGTGGTGTCCGACAACTTCCCCCAAAAACAACCCGCCCCCCACCCCCGCCACCACCACCTACCACAACCCAAACCCCGTCCGCCACACCCCCCCCCTCCCCGCCTTCGCCCAACTCGTAGACGCGATGGCCTCGCTCACTCGGGAGGGCCCTTTCCGTGCCCGAGTCGTCACCTCGGGGCGCGTCCGAGAGGCATCGCCCGGCGGCTCTCTGGCGGCGTACGCGCCGAAGCGGTCACGGCGGAGCGTTAAAAGTCCGCGAGTTTCGGCCGCGTGCCAGTCGCTCCCCGCGCCGTGCACGCGCGAGGAGCGGTGGCGCTCGTGGTGCAGCGCAGCGAGCGCTGCACTACGAACGCGGCGGCTCGAGTTCGATTCCCGCTCGTGGACAAACAACACCGGTGACAAACATCTGAACCGGTGCTGGGTCTCCCCCTAGGTCGACTCAGCCTTAAGCGATTCGTACATGCTGCGGTGTGTGAACATCAGCATTGGGGAGACAAAGGCGGCCGGGGCGTGGACCTGATCACACCTCCCAGTCGCGTGACGTTCCGTCCTAAGTAGGTGGTCGCCAACAGCACTTGCCCCAACATGAAAAAGACAACGACGACCCCCTCCCCGTAGCTTTTAACCGACTGTTGCGCAGCAATGGCTGTTAGCGAGCACCTATGAATGCCAACGGGACGTGGTGGCTGGCACCACGTCCCGGCCGTCTTTGTTTTCGCCACACACCGCGACAGGTACACGTGAGGACCCGTGGCGACCTTGGCGAGGCCCAGGACCCAGCGCGTGTTACTTGCGCACATACAGGAGCCATGTACTCGCGTGTATGTATTATGTATGTGTGTGTATGTATGTTTGTGGGTTATGTATTATGTATGTGTGTGTAGGCGCTCTGCGCTTTAAATACACCCCGCTGTGTACCCAATGACTCTTATAGCAACCCCCCCCCCCCCCCCAATCTCTCTCTCTCTGCAGTCGAGGCACATGGTGGGGGGGGGGTTCTCTAGGGACCTCCAAGACACCGGGGTTCTCTTCCCAAGCAGCCTCGGGGCAAAACGGGGTGCCCCGTGTGAGAGTGGTGGGGGGAAGAGGAGGAGGAGGACGAGGGGGTTTCAGTGCTAACACGGAGGGGTGGGATGGGGGGGGGGGGCTTGCACCCCACGTCTCGCAGCTCGGCTGCACGCGACCCCGAACGCACAATCACACGAAACAAAAGGCAAAGATCCCCGTGTAGCCTTAGCAGAGCGTTTGGGGCAGGTGTTGCTGCTGCTCCACTCGTGCACGCACACACTCTTTGACGCACAATGAATTGCAAGCGTAGACACAAACATAAACAAATACCCCCACACACACACACACCGTATAGCCTGTAACAGACTGTTGGGGGCAAATGCTGTTAGCGAGCTCGTATGACGGCCGGCACGGCACACGACGGGGTGGGTGGCCAGCACCACTCCGTTATCTCCCACAGTGGCAATGTTTATACACCGCACCAGGTACTTAATTGAGGCTGAGTCGACCTAAGAGAGGCCCAGAACCGGTTCAGACAATCGTCGACGGTGTTGGTGGCCGTGAGTGGGAATCGAACTCAGGTCGCCGGGTTCGTAGCCCAGCGCGCTGACCGCTACACTACCGCTCCAAAAACAACAACAACCGCCATTCGCAACTAAGTGGCGGTGACGTCACCACGGCGCTTGTGCCAGGCTATGTGCACGTTAAGGCCAAGTGAAGTGTCGAACGTCTGCTCACAGGAGGTCACGGAACAGACCCAGGTGCCATGGGTTGCCTGACTGAGATGACTGGCTGACATGACATGCACACACACGCACTCGTTTACAGACACACACACGCGCGCGCGCCCAAGCACTGACACGCGCACACGCGCGCTCGTGCACTGCGTCACGCCGAGGTGAGTGGGTCACCTTTAAGACTCCACTTGATATTTTTTTGGGTGAGGAATTACATCAGCGGTGGTGTGCGGTGCGCGTTTCCGACAGAGTGAATTCACAGACTCGGAGGAGCTGAGGGGGGAGGGGGGGTGCAGGGAGGGGAGAGAGGCAGGAGGGGACGGCTCCGCTTGACCCCTGAGGTTTTAGCCGACCGAGACGAGAGTACAAAAATGCAACCGTGGACACGTTCGCGGGTGAGTGTGAGCGTGCGTGCAGTGTGCAGACATTGGGGAGACAAAGGCGGCCCGGTGTGGTTCCTGGTCACACCACCCCCTCGTGCGCCGTTCCGGCTTTCATTGGTGCTCGCAAACAGCACTTGCCCCAACAGTTTGTTAAAGGCTATACAGGGCATCGTTGTCTTTGGTCCATTGTGTGTATGTCATACGTGTGTATGTGGCCGTGTGTCTGGTTGAGTCGCTGTGTATGAAAGCGTATCTAGACGTGTGTCGAAACGTGTGTTGTCGTGTGTGTACATCTGTGTAGGAGCTGTGGCGCAGTGGTTAGCGCACTGCGCTACGTACCCCGCGACCCGAGTTCAATTTCCGCTCACTGCCAACATCAGTGACGAATATCTGAAACAGTCCCCGACCTCCATTAGGTCGACTCAGCCTCTAAAGAGTATACCTAGAGCGTGCGATGTGTAAACATCGCTACTAGAGTTGACAAAGGCGGCCGGGCACTGTGCTGGCAACCCAAATCCCTCGTGGGCCGTGCCGACCATCAAAGGTGCTCGCTAACAGCACTTGCCCCAACAGTCTGTTGAGGTTATGCGGAGGATATTTGTCTGCGCGCGTGTATGCGTGTATGAATGCATGCGTACGCGCGTGTGTTCATGGCACGCGAGTACTCGCTCGCTCGCTGGCGTGTGCGTGTGTGTTGCGAGGGAGGAAGAGGGCCGTCAAAAAATCCGCGCCGCTGATTAATTACCGCGCATGGCAGATCAAGTTTCGCCTTCGGAACATTGCATTTCGCGCGGTTATTATGCATTTATTTGTGCATGTATTATTAACGCAACGGACCAGCCCGAGCGCTTTTGAATTGCCCCGTGCGAGGGCGCCCAGGACTCGGGGCCCCAATTAAGGCAGCATCGCTCAACGTTTTTTCTTCTTCTGCGAACGGCGATAAAAACGGAAAACCCAAGGAGGATTCCTCTCTCTTGCCATCCCAATACAACATCTACCCACTCCTTCCTATCTCTCTCTCGCTCCTGCTTGAGCTTTCTCTCTCTCTCTGTGTGTCTGCACGCTTCTATAATGGTGAGAAATGCCACCGCTGCATATCTGTGGGATTTGGAGAGGGCTGGCGGAGTCATATAATATGCCACTAAAAGAGAGCGTTACGCGAATGCGCAATTTGCGATATGCAAACGCGTCGGGGCTGTGATGATGATTATGTGTGTCGTGAGTGCAGGCGTGCGTGCGGTCTGGCGCGTGTGCGTGTGTGTGTACACATTCATCGTATACATGGCACAGGCAGCACCATATTTGGCAATTAAAATCCGTCTTTTTACGCCTATACATTGGTCCAACATCTCAGCTTGCACCGCATGCTCCAACCAATAAAAGTATTACCGATCCGCGGGCACGTGTTCATCATAATTGCTTGGCCCTAACTCGACTGAAACGTCCCAGTTACAAACATGACGCCGGCTCCTCTGAAACGTATCTAACGAAGACAGGGCCCGGTCGCTTTCTTGGCTGTATCATCATCATCACCACCGCCAACACCACGGTCCGGCTCGCATCGGAACAATTTCTAAAACCCTAACGAGAAAATAAATATTTTCTTCGCGAAAAAAATCTACCAAAACGTACAATAAAGACCGCGCGCGCCACACAGAAACCCTCCAACCCACGGTGGCTCCGACCGCGAAGTCACTCGCAACGCTGCGAGCTCGGAGCGTCGCGCGTGAGACGCGGAGCGACCACGGCGAGAACCCCCGCGGCGGGGGCTGCTCGCGAGGGCTCTCAGCGGCGCGGCGCGAGAGGTTCTCACCAAGCGTGGCGGTGCACGGGATTCGCGATTGCGCCACCACCGCCGCCACCACCACCGCCACCACCGAAACGTCGCCGTTGTTACCGTAGCCGTGCTCACCTGCTGTATGTAGAGGAAAGCCAGGGCGCAGGCCGGGTGCGGGATCATTCCCAGGGCTGGCAGGGCGGCCGGGTTGGGCGGCGCTCCAGAGCAGTGCATGAGGGCGCGGGATGCGGAGTCTCTCGACCGACAGCGGCTCTCTCAATCTCTCTCTCTCTCTTACTCTCTCACACAGCTCTCTCTCTCTCTCACACACACGCACACACACACTTCTCTCGCTCTCTCTCGCTCTCTCACACAGCTCACTCACTCACGGCAGCGAGCTCACTTGCGCACGCACGCGTGCGCGCGGCCTCTGCCCGGATAAGCAATAGCTCCTACACACGCACGCACACGGAAAGACACACGCGCGGACGCACTCCACTCGCCCGCTCGCTCACCCACTCACGCAGACGCGCACGCTTCCCTCTCCCTCTCTCTCTCTGGCTCGCACGCCGCGCTCGCTCGCTCGCTCACGCGTTCATCGCGCGCGCGTCCTCGTCGGCGGTCGTGGGGTGCGCGCTCGTGCACGGCGCGCGCGCGCGCGCGAGCTCTCCCGTCCGTGTGTCGGTGCGCGTGCCGGGTGCGTCGGTCCGTCCGTTCGTCTGTGCGTGCGTGACGAGCACTGCGGAGTCGTCGCTACAGCGAGGGGTTCGCGTCCGCACTCTGAGACTGCATCGGCGAATTCCTGGTTTTCAGCAGCCCGCTTTGCCCCCTCCCACGGCCCGCCCGCCCACCCGCCCGCGCTCGCTCGCCCCCTCCTCCTCCTCCTCTCTTCTTCTCTCTCCTCTCTTCTCCGTGTTCCGCAGACCCCGCCATGCATGCATCTGCCACTGCCGCCGCTGCCGCCGCTGCAGCTGCTGCTGCTGCTGGTGCCGCTTATGCGCGAAGGGGATTGATTGGATGAAGCGCGGTGCGCCCTGGTCCCCTGATCGCGCCGAGCGGGGCTCGTTACGGTAACGCAACGCACGGCGGGACCATACGAGGGACCTTAGTACGTACAGACCATGCGTTTGTTAAATTTAATACCCGCGATGTGTGTAAGGTTATAGACGCGACACGGTACCACACAATGCATACATGCACACACAAGCGCTCTGTGCACACATGCACGGGACTGCACGCATTAGACACAGCCGCTGCTATGTTACTCACACACACACACATACCCACTATGCACGTATACACAACACATATACACACATGCAAACGAAGATACACATACAGTACGACACGCAAATACAAAAAGAAGAAAGGCGAAGATCCCACACTTTTGGGTCAAGTGCTGTTAGCGAGCACCTGTGAAAAGCCAACACGGCACACGAGGCAGATGGGTGGCTAGCGCCTGTCCCGGCCGCCTTTGTCTTCCCAGTGCTGATTTTTTTCCCCTCGGCACCATCTGCTTATTTGAGGCTCATTTGATTTAGGGAAGACTCAGCACAAGTTCAGATAATCGCCACTCGGTGTTGGCTGCGAGCGGAACCTAAGCTTGGCTCGCCAGGCTCGTAGCGTAGTGTGCTAACCACCGCGCCACGGCTCCCCACAATATACAGAGTCGCTGCATACACGAAACACGTAATACACGCGCACAGGCCTTCATTTCAGCCGGGTGCGTTCGCAGCCGGCACACCACATCCAGTATATTTTCCAGATGCCTCATCCAGACTACCGGTGATCGGGGGGAAATATATTCAGTGAGAAATTAGGGGCCAGAACACGCCACGTGAAAACATGATACACGTACTCCTCTTTCGCAAGCGACACATGTTCACAGAACGTTGTACCTACAAACACCACAAACACATAGGCTACATGCACACTACACACACACGCTGTATACACACATTACTGGGACACTATACATGTACACACCACACACACACACGCTGTATACACACACTACGGGGAATCTATACATGTACACACCACACACGCACGCTGTATACACACACTACTGGAACACTATACATGTACACACCACACACACACACGCTGTATACACACACTACGGGGAATCTATACATGTACACACCACACACGCACGCTGTATACACACACTACTGGAACAATATACATGTACACACCACACACACACGCTGTATATACACACTACTGGAACAATATACATGTACACACCACACACACACGCTGTATATACACACACACACACTACTGGAACACTATACATGTACACACCACACACACACGCTGTATACACACATTACTGGGACACTATACATGTACACACCACACACGCACGCTGTATATACACACACACACTACTGGAACACTATACATGTACACACCACACACACACACGCTGTATACACACACTACTGGGACACTATACATGTACACACCACACACACACGCTGTATACACACACACTACTGGGACACTATACATGTACACACCACACACACACACGCTGTATATAGATACACACTACTGGGACACTATACATGTACACACCACACACACACGCTGTATACACACACACACTACTGGGACACTATACATGTACACACACACACACGCTGTATACACACACACACTACTGGGACACTATACATGTACACACCACACACACACGCTGTATACACACACTACTGGAACAATATACATGTACACACCACACACACACACGCTGTATATACATACACACTACTGGGACACTATACATGTACACACCACACACACACGCTGTATACACACACACACTACTGGGACACTATACATGTACACACACACACACACGCTGCATACACACACACTACTGGGACACTATACATGTACACACCACACACACACGCTGTATACACACACTACTGGAACAATATACATGTACACACCACACACACGCTGTATATACATACACACTACTGGGACACTATACATGTACACATCACACACGCACGCTGTATACACACACTACTGGAACAATATACATGTACACACCACACACACGCTGTATATACATACACACTACTGGGACACTATACATGTACACACCACACACGCACGCTGTATACACACACTACTGGAACACTATACATGTACACACCACACACACATGCTGTATACACACACACTACTGGAACACTATACATGTACACACCACACACACACGCTGTATACACACACACACACACTAGGGGGACACTATACATGTACACACCACACACATACGCTGTATACACACACTACTGGGACACTATACATGTACACCACACAACACACACACACACGCTGTATACACACACACACACTACTAGGACACTATACATGTACACACCACACACACACGCTGTATACACACACACACACTAGGGGGACACTATACATGTACACACCACACACATACGCTGTATACACACACTACTGGGACACTATACATGTACACACCACACACACACGCTGTATACACACACTACTGGGACACTATACATGTACACACCACACACACACGCTGTATACACACACTACTGGGACACTATACATGTACACACCACACACACACGCTGTATACACACACTACTGGGACACTATACATGTACACACCACACACATACGCTGTATACACACACACTACTGGGACACTATACATGTACACACCACACACACACGCTGCATACACACACACACTACTGGGACACTATACATGTACACCACACACACACTCGCTGTATACACACACTACTGGAACACTATACATGTACACACCACACACACACGCTGTATACACACACACACTACTGGGACACTATACATGTACACACCACACACACGCTGTATACACACACACACACTACTGGGACACTATACATGTACACACCACACACGCACGCTGTATACACACTACTGGAACACTATACATGTACACACCACACACACACACGCTGTATAGATACACACACACTACTGGAACACTATACATGTACACACAACACACATACACGCAGTATACACACATTACTGGAACACTATACATGTACACACCACACACACACGCTGTATACACACACATTACTGGAACACTATACATGTACACCACACACACACGCTGTATACACACACACTACTGGAACACTATACATGTACACACCACACACACACGCTCTATACACACACACTACTGGGACACTATACATGTACACACCACACACACACGCTGTATACACACACACACTACTGGGACACTATACATGTACACACCACACACACGCTGTATATACATACAGACACTACTGGGAAGCAAAACATAGACACATCACAGACACATGTCTCCACCCGGCATACCACATCCAGTATACACGTATGACTTATTTTTACCTACGCGTTAATCCAGAAATGCAAAAATGAGTCGTATGACTTAGGTGTTTTAAACAAAGTCACGTGTTTATTTTATAAGTGGTAGGAAACGGAGCTCTCGTAGAAAACCCCACGCGCGGGGGGGGGGGGGGGGGGTAACACTCCAACCCCCGTACAGATGGACACAGATGGCGATTAGTCCACGTTCTGTCCTGCCTTCTCGTGGCGAGCCAGGGTCACGATACCGTCCTCGACACCCACGGGAAGGGCGCTTCACGACATTCGCGCGTCTATCCACCAACGCTCGCTACCTCCACAGTGCGATACGTCCGCACCCGGCACACTGCGTCCAGTATACACCTGGCCTACGGCTGTGACCATTGGACACGGCGGCTACCGACTCAAGAAAGCCACGCTCAGTGAGAAATTAGCAACACTCACACACACGCGCACAGCGCAGCACAGCGAATGCACGCACACCACGCGTGACACAACACTGGGCACAAACCCCCTCGACTCCCCCTCGACATTCTCTCCCCCCCGCCCCATAGAGTTTACCCCGTCCCACCCCGCTATTATCACCCCCCCACCCTCAAACCCTCTCCCTTGTTTCCCATCGTCCGCACATTCACGGGCACCGTGCATCCACCTTGAGGTCTGCACGGAGCGTGCGGCACAGGGGGCGCGCTTCGTTACGGCATCGACGCAGACCGACAACTCTGGGACGCTGCCCCCTCCCCATCCCTCCCTCTCTCTCTCTCGGACAACGCACTTGCGGACCCGCGCCATACTGGACATGTGACAACAAGAGCTTCATAGCTCATCGGATTTCCTCCGGTATAAATACAGATTGTGATTCTGATCTGATTAAGGCGGGATATGCGGATTCCTCCCTCCCTCCCCTCCTCCCTTCCCTCCTTGTGTGTGATATCCCCCAGCGCCTCGCCTCCCTCCCTCCCTCCCTATTTATCCCGTCCTAAGCGGCATCAAAAGCCGCGGCGATTTTTGCAAAATACCCGAGAGACGCACGGTCCACTAAATAAGAGCGAGGGATCTGATGTGGGGATTCACGCAGACACGCGCTTGCCGCTACACGCAGACACTACTCAACACTCACCGTTAACCTCAAAGACAAGGATTCTCCCGTGTAGCCTT